TAATATAAGAAAAAGAAGAAGAAGAAGTTGATGAGAATTTTGAGATGGAAGATTAACGTAAGGATTAAATAATGATAACAATAAATATCAAGGTTAGAGGATCCACTAATGGTATGTCAAACAAATATAGTATAAACTCTTATTACTCAATTAGAAACCACAAACAAAGGAGGTTCCAATCAGATTATAAATTATTAACATGATTATATTAGTCATCTTATTTGATTAATGCTAATACTTGTAAATCTCGTTAGGCATTCATGATTATAACTTATGTTAACAAGAAATCAAGTTCCTTTCATAACTCAAGTATCGGTTATACTATATAGTATGGGCTATGAAAGTACCAAGCATTTATTGTACCAAGTGTTATACAACATAAATCTAGATTAGTCATTTAACAAGCAAAGTATTAAAGAGTGAACAAGATAACAAATAGAAAACATGTTAGTATCAAATATTAAAGTCTATATTGAGTTTACACTATACTTATTCTTACACCATTAGTGTAACCTTTTCACATTGATATAATAAACTTAGTAAAATATAATGAAAAAAAGAAAAATAAATAAAATAAATAGGAACATAAATAAGATAAAAGTTAACTAAGTAAAGGAAATGAAATGAAAGGCATAAACTTGATATTAATGAAAGCAAAACATAAGCAATACAAAAAATACAAAGAGAGAAAGCAAGAGCATGATCTTGATCTGAAAACTAAGATACCTAAATGCATGGAAAATGTCTCCTTTTATAGGCTAAAATTATAAACTATTGATTTGATGACTAATTGATGAGTGGGTGGCTAATTTTTGACTTGGTAACAATCCTTATCTTCTTTTTTCTGCCCAAAATGTCAACTTGAACCACTTGAAAACATGAAAGCTGTAGGAAATTGTCTCAGCTTTCTAGCAAAAAAATAGAGGTCATTTGGACTTTTAAAACTCCGGATATGGGCTAAACATTGAACAGTGTATGGGCTGTAGGAAAGATTTGGACTTTTTTCTTGTTGCTATAATTTGGAATTGAAAATGACCTTTTTAAATCTTGAGCTCCATATGAAAGTTGTAGGCCTATATCTTACCTTTCCATCCATATAAAGTAGACCTAAATCTGAGATCTACAGCTCTAGATATGACC